GTTTATTGCAATGATTAATTTTACCTATAGATAATGTTACATTTACATCACATTTGGATCAGTCAGCAGCAGGTGATCTGCAGAAAAAGTCAAACTCCTTTTGAGCACTGCACCAGTTTTTTCTGCCCCCAGACTGGATCGGCCCTTCCAGGTGCAAGTTGATGCAAGCCAAGTGGGAGCTGGAGTAGTTTTGTTGCAGACTGATGAGAAAGGTGTTGACTATCCTGTTTGTTTCTTTTCAAAGAAATTTAATCAACACCAGCGAAATTACTCAACCATTGAGAAAGAGGCCTTGGCTCTCATTTGGGCACTGCAACATTTTGATGTGTATGTGGGAGGGGGTGTTTCTCCTGTTGTGGTATATTCAGACCATAACCCTCCTAACATTTTTGCACTCCTTACAGAGTCCAAATCAGCGGTTGATGAGGTGGGCCTTATATCTGCAACCTTACAATCTGGTGATCCGGCACATTCGAGGCACTGAAAATGTGCTGGCTGATGCCTTGTCTCGTGCAATTGAATCAAACTAACTGGTTTATTGTTTACTGAGATTCCAGTTGGGATCCTCTGTTTAAAGGGGGAGGTGTTTCGGCCCTAAATGGTTTCTCTGTTGTCTCATTGCAGGGTTTGGAGTTGCAGCAGCAGGTGCTGTTGGTTGGCTTGATTGCTGAAAAGCTGCCACACATGCAGCTTGGGCCCTCTCTCCCTCCTGATCCTCACTTGGTTTGGTTTGTATCTTTCTTTTTTTTTTGGTTTGGTTTGGTTTAGTTTGGGTTTACTTACTTTAAATATTTGAGTCTCGGATTAATCTCAGTTTGGTTTTTCTCATTTCAGGTATTCCCACTGAGGTTTATTTCTTTAGTATAATTTAATAAATTATTTATTTGAAGTAAACTAATCCTTGTGTGGTCTCCTTTCATGTTACTCCACCAAATGAGCCTGGTGGACGTAACAACACAGATTATGTTTTTGCATAAAAATAAAACACACACACATACACACACAAACACAGGCTTGCGCTGCTTGGGCTGCCTAGTGCGTGAATGATGTCACCTAGTCACACCCAATGATGTAACACATCAAAGACAGTCAGAGCAAAAGATTATATATGGTCAGTAAGATTTACTTTTGGAAAAACACAGGAATTCATTTGTTTGGCTGGAGCATAAGAAATATTTTGCCGTCCAAAAAACCTTTTTAAAATACTGAAAATAAAAAACAAAAATATGTCACAGCAAGAAGGTCCTGGGTTTGATTCCCACCTCGGACCTGGGGCCTTACTCTGTGGATTTTGCATCTCCTCATGCTTGCATGGGTTTTCTCCGGAAACTCAAGTTTCCCTCCCACAGACAACAAAATGTGGTTAAAGGGATCCATGATTAGTTGTAACATTAGACTTTATTTGATAAACATTTATTTTAACTGTTAAAGGAAGACTGTGAAAATAATATAGGCTGTTTGGTTTTGTAAATTTTTAAAAATATGTTTTAACACAGACTGAAACATTTTCTAACATTTGAACGTGGCATATTTTCAACTATTCACATATCTTGAGTTTTAAACCTTCAATTAAACTTAAGGTATTCTTCAGAATAATTTTAAAATTGTTTAGCAACACACATTTTTTTCCAGACAATTCGTTTACTCGTGTCAGCAAAAAATCTCCGGGACATGTTGTCTGGCTTTTAAAATGATCATGTAGGAGTTGTAGCAGAACAATTCTATAACATTTAGGAAAACCCTGAACCATCATCCTGACTGAGGTGGAAAGTCACAAGTTTTATTCCAGGAAAAAGAATTCTCATGTCACAGCAGCACTGAGCTCAGTCTGAAAACTTCTATTTTGTGACAATATTGGAAACTTTTAATGGGCCAATATTATATGTTTCTCAGGCATATATTTAAATACTGTACCATAATAAAGTATCTGTCACCTTCAGTTGTTATTAAAATACTGTTTTTATGTTTAAATAGAAAATAAACTTGTCTTCTCATCACTTCCTCTTCTAAACCCCTTGAAATCGGCCTCTCACTTTAAGAACCACCTTCCGCTTCTGTCCCATCCATTTTGGTGTGTGGGGTGGGAAGGTGTGCTCCGTGATGAGGAAGTTTGGCTTAAAGACACGTCCCAGAGGCGTTTCTGGTCCCAAAAGGTGTTTCTGGTCCCCACCTGTCGTTTTGCTCCTCAGCATGACTTCCTAAAAACGCTGCAGGATTTCTCAAACATGAATGAATGAGTCAGAGCAAGGCTTTGGGGTCAGTGTTTCTTTTGGTCATTGGATTTTCATTTTAGAAATGGGTATTCAATTCAATTCAATTCAATTCAATTCAATTCAAAAATACTTTATTGATCCCAGAGGGAAATTAGGTGTTGTTGTAACTCATTTAACTAAAGAGTTATTGTACACTCACCGGCCACTTTATTAGGTACACCTGTCCAACTGCTCGTTAACACTTAATTTCTAATCAGCCAACCAC